TGAACACACCATGTAAACATTCACAGTTTACTCCCCCTGCTGGCACTGCTGTGGCCGGCTATGCCGTCCATATGATGGTGAGGTCCTTGCAAGGACCTCACCATCACATGGCCCAGGAGGGCCACAACTGTAGCAGGGGGACTCCCTGGGATACCAGGTGAGTTCCCCCACTGCGATTGCTGGTGTGGGATAGCGACGAGTGGGTAAGTACATAGGACGGTGGAGATGTGGTTAACACTCTTTATTTACCAAGATTATTATTTTTTTTTTTACAGCACACATATGGAAGCAAAGATACAATTTAAAATATAACAATGAGTTCCAAATACATTCTAACTGTAAATAACAGGCACCTACTGAAAGGATGGTTATCATGAAGAAACGCCACCAGGAATGTGCAGTAGAGAGTGTTACTGAGACTGGAGGTGAAGCCAGTGGCTATATCTACCCCAACTGGGCTGGCCTCCAGAAGGACTTGTTTTCCCAGATATGTATTGTCCCCTATGTCTGTCCTCCTTCTCCTAGGCTTGTATAGTGTAACGGATCGCCTGGCACCCCGACTGGGTACCTCCGTTAAAGGATGCTCCTAGCGCTTCCTGAGGACTCCAAGCACTGCAGCAGACACCACAACCACCGAACCGGAGAAGCATATGAATCCTCTCAAGCATATGAATGCTGTAGACAGTTGAATAGGAACCATACGAATAGGTTTACTCTCCTAGCAGTCAAACTGGAACAGCATACAATAAATCCTTCCCCAATAATGAGACGACACTTCACTTTGAGGGTTAAAACAGGAACTCCCTGTACTGTCACATACAGTCTCTTTTATTCCCAATCCACAAACATAGTACAGCCCACAGGGCGTTACAAAACAGCCAATCAATCCATACAATACACCCAGACACTCCCACACAAAATCCTCCCCTCTGGCTGTGATATGATTACTGAACACAATGGGTAATCTAATTATCACAGCCAGAGAAATACAATTTCATAAAACACATCACAGGGACCCCAAAACATGCAATAACCCCATATATCCTTGGAACTGGGGGATCTGGGTGAACCACATATCCAAAATTCACCCAGATCCGTTCAGTACTTTGGAAAATACAGTTTAATGCAGATTCTGCAGAACATATACAGGCTAAATAAAAAACAATCACTGTATAATGTGTCCCCTGCTGTATAGTCCAAAACCACCGCACGATGTCTCTGTGCAACAAATACTGGCGAGATGGCACCGTGTTGAAAAGTCCACACAGTGTCTGTGAGTTAAAATGGCCGCCATCCATTGTTCTCACCATGTGCTTCTGATACAGGAAATGGTGGCCACCCAGTAACTCCACAGTATGTCCCCAGATGGTTCTTAAAAGGGCCAGCAGCAGCACAACACAAATCCATTATGCCCAAATCATGTCTTTAAAGGCAATACATCCCAGGGGCCATAGTCACATGGCAGGAGGCTGGCAACCAGGCTTCTCCAGTGCATAGTGGCGAGGTTGGTTCCGCCACACTTCTCCCCTTTACCAATCAGACTAACAGGGTATCTGACCTCCTGCCGGTCAGTGCCCTTGTTAGTCCAGCAGCCCACCCACAAAACACAATCAGTAATACAGCCCACCCACAATAACTGGCTACTACACCTGGGTAGGGGAGAACTTTGTCCGTGTCCAGGTGCCTCACCATGGCTGTGTGGGTGACTGGTAAGTGTTCTGGGTGGGTTGCTGAGTGGGCAGAGACCAGCGGTACTCTGTCCTGGTGCCAGCAATACCACGGGAGTAGTCTGGTTGGAACCTGGTTGCTGGAGGGGGAGACAGACTGTCTCCCCTTTGCCTAAACAGTCCTGCTGCTGGGGGACAGGACCGACTGTCCCTACCCCCGGTGGTGCATGTGCAGAGACCACTGTCCCATCTGCACTGTTGTGGAGATTACTGTCTCCCCTTGGTGGGCTAAGCTGCCGCTGGGGAGAGGGGATAACAAGCTCCTCTCCCTGACACACTCTCTGCTGTTGAAGGGGGAGACCGACTGTCTCCCCTTTCAATAATTCGTCCTGTTGCTGGAGAGAGGTGATAACTGGTTCCTCTCCCTGGAACACTCTCTGCTGTTGGAGAGGGGGACCAACTGTCTCCCCTTTTAATATATTGTCCTGCTGCTGGGGAGCGAGACCGACTGTCTCCGCTTCCTGCAGGACACACTGCCGCTGGGGAGAAAGTACGGCACCTTCAGCTTCCTGGGATACATACTGCCGCTGGGGAGGAAGGACTACACCTTCAGCTCCCTGGGGTACACACTGCCGCTGGGGAGGAAGGACGGCACTTTCTGCTCCCTGGGGTACACACTGCCGCTGGGGAAGAAGGACGACACCTTTGGCTCCCTGGGCTCACACTGCCGCTGGGGAGGAAGGACGGCACCTTCAGCTCCCTGGGGTACACACTGCCGCTGGGGAGGAAGGACGGCACCTTCAGCTCCCTGGGGTACACACTGCCGCTGGGGAGGAAGGACTGCACCTTCAGCTCCCTGGGGTACACACTGCCGCTGGGGAGGAAGGACTGCACCTTCAGCTCCCTGGTATACACACTGCCGCTGGGGAGGAAGGACTGCACCTTCAGCTCCCTGGGATACACACTGCCGCTGGGGAGGAAGGACTGCACCTTCAGCTCCCTGGGATACACACTGCCGCTGGGGAGGAAGGACGGCACCTTCAGCTCCCTGGGGGACACACTGCCGCTGGGGAGGAAGGACGACACCTTCAGCTCCCTGGGACTCCTTTTTGGCCAAATCTACTAGAGATTGCAGGTATTCTCCTACTAGTTTCCTGGCGAGCTGCACGGCTCTCTCTGGGGGGTTGGGTCCAAAGGTAGACAGCACCTCATTAACCTCTCTGTCCAACTCCTCCTGAGTGTAATCATACGCCATATGCTTGCTCTGCTGAAGTTAGTTCTTTTGTAGATAGGGTCGCTGTACGGGTACTAGCGTTGCCCTCAATTTGTAAATCCACGAACTGTGTCTCCGAGCTGCTTTACCTCGCACTAGGACGCCATCCCACCGCTGCCACCAATGTAACGGATCGCCTGGCACCCCCGACTGGTTACCTCCGTTAAAGGATGCTCCTAGCGCTTCCTGAGGATTCCAAGCACTGCAGCAGACACCACAACCACCGAACCGGAGAAGCATATGAATCCTCTCAAGCATATGAATGCTGTAGACAGTTGAATAGGAACCATAGGAATAGGTTTACTCTCCTAGCAGTCAAACTGGAACAGCATACAATAAATCCTTCCCCCAATAATGAGACAACACTTCATTTTGAGGGTTAAAACAGGAACTCCCTGTACTGTCACATACAGTCTCTTTTATTCCCAATCCACAAACATAGTACAGCCCACAGGGCGTTACAAAACAGCCAATCAATCCATACAATACACCCAGACACTCCCACACAAAATCCTCCCCTCTGGCTGTGATATGATTACTGAACACAATGGGTAATCTAATTATCACAGCCAGAGAAATACAATTTCATAAAACACATCACAGGGACCCCAAAACATGCAATAACCCCATAAAAAGTATATCCTTGGAACTGGGGGATCTGGGTGAACCACATATCCAAAATTCACCCAGATCCGTTCAGTAATTTGGAAAATACAGTTTAATGCAGATTCTGCAGAACATGTACAGGCTAAATAAAAAACAATCACTGTATAATGTGTCCCCTGCTGTATAGTCCAAAACCACCGCACGATGTCTCTGTGCAACAAATACTGGCGAGATGGCACCGGGTTGAAAAGTCCACACAGTGTCTGTGAGTTAAAATGGCCGCCATCCATTGTTCTCACCATGTGCTTCTGATACAGGAAATGGTGGCCACCCAGTAACTCCACAGTATGTCCTCAGATGGTTCTTAAAAGGGCTAGCAGCAGCACAACACAAATCCATTATGCCCAAATCATGTCTTTAAAGGGCAATACATCCCAGGGGCCATAGTCACATGGCAGGAGGCTGGCAACCAGGCTTCTCCAGTGCATAGTGGCGAGGTTGGTTCCGCCACATATAGACCCTGCACTGCCACCAACTACTGCCTTTACAAAAGCACGCGTGGCTCACAGGCCTAGCTTTAAACAGTATCTTTACAATTAAGTTTTAAGTTGTCAGGTTAAAGGGACACTATAGTCACCTGAACAACTTTAGCTTAATGAAGCAGTTTTGGTGTATAGAACATGCCCCTGCAGTCTCACTGCTCAATCCTCTGCCATTTAGGAGTTAAATCCCTTTGTTTATGAACCCTAGTCACACCTCCCTGCATGTGACTTGCACAGCCTTCCATATACACTTTCTGTAAAGAGAGCCTTATTAAGTTCTGTTTAATTAAGATTTCTTTATCCCCTGCTATGTTAAAAGCTTGCTAGAACCTGCAAGAGCCTCCTGTATGTGATTAAAGTTCAATTTAGAGATTGAGATACAATTATTTAAGGTAAATTACATCTGTTCTGAAAGTGAAACCAGTTTTTTTTTTTTTTTTCATGCAGGCTCTGTCAACCATAGCCAGGGGAGGTGTGGCTAGGGCTGCATAAACACAAACAAAGTGATTTAACTCCTAAATGACAGTGAATTGAGCAGTAAAAATGGCAGGGGAATGTCTATACACTAAAACTGCTTGATTTAGCTAAAGTAATTTAGGTGACTATAGTGTTCCTTTAACTCATGAAATCCATGCAACCAGGAAATAGTGCAGTCAGGACGCAGGCCTGAAGTCTGCTACTGGAATATCTGAACAAGTGAGATAGGACACACAGTTCCATAAGAAGTAACACACAATACTTTATTTTGAAAAAGGACTAGTAATTTGGGGAATTGACAAAAAACATGAGAGGGGGAAATCATTTAAAATACAAATATACAGAAAAATGTAGAACAAGCAATTCTAATAATACATCAAATATATATTACAAGTAATTCTTTGAAACACATTAAAGTGCATAGATAGATTTGCACTAAATTCCATGTCGTCAATTTGCATATTTTCAGTCAATAGGGGATGCTTACAAGTTATCACAATACCAATGCATAATTTGTTCATTGACTGATACTGTTACAGTAATTATTTATAGTGTCAGCAAGAAAAAGGCTTTGCTATAATATGAGGTGCTGCAAGGTAAGCAAACTTTGAATTATGATTTTAGAATATCTCACACTCACAGTAAATTACTACATTGATGCCTCATATATTATTAGAGTTGACAATAACATTTGGAACTATCAAAACATCACATAATCTATCTCCTGTGTGAGTTTTCTTATGTATTGCAAGTTGTGACTGCCAGCTGAAACATTTCCCACATTCAGAACATGAAAAAGGTTTCCCTCCTTTGTGAGTTCTCTGATGACCAACAAGATGTGACTGCCGGCTGAAACATTTCCCACATTTGGAACACGAGAAAGGTTTCTCTCCTGTGTGAGTTCTCTGATGTCTGACAAGGTCTGGTTTACTGACAAAACATGTCTCACATTCAGAACATGAAAAAGGTTTCTCTCCTGTGTGACTTCTCTGATGTGTAACAAGATGAGTGTGCCGGCTAAAACGTTTCCCACATTCAGAACATGAGAAAGGTTTCTCTCCTGTGTGAGTTATCTGGTGTTTTACAAGGACTGCTTTACTGACAAAACACTTCCCACATTCAGAACATGAAAAAGGTTTCTCTCCTGTGTGACTTCTCTGATGTGTAACAAGATGTGACTGGTGGCTGAAACATTTCCCACATTCAGAACATGAGAAAGGTTTCTCTCCTGTGTGAGTTCTCTGATGTATTGAAAGTAGACACTGCCGACTGAAACATTTCCAACATTCAGAGCATGAGAAAGGTTTCTCTCCTGTGTGAGTTATCCGATGTATTGAAAGTTGACACTGCCGGCTGAAACATTTCCCACATTCAGAGCATGAGAAAGGTTTCTCTCCTGTGTGAGTTCTCTGATGTCTGACAAGATCCGATTTACTGACAAAACACTTCCCACATTCAGAACACGAGAAAGGTTTCTCTCCTGTATGAGTACTCTGATGTTTATGCAGAGCTGAGGTATAGCTAAAGCATTTCCCACATTCAGAGCACGAGAAAGGTTTCTCTCCTGTGTGAGTTCTCTGATGGCCAACAAGATGTGACTGGCGGCTGAAACATTTCCCACATTCGGAACACGAGAAAGGTTTCTCTCCTGTGTGAATTCTCTGATGGGTAACTAGTGCTGAGGTATAGTTAAAACATTTCCCACATTCATAACATGAGAAAGATTTCCTTCCTGTGTGCGTTGTCTGATGTCTATCAAGAGATGATTCAATGATAAAATATTTTTCACATGCAGTATATGAGAAAGGTTTTGGGGTTATGTATACTATGTCTTTTGTAGACATATTTGATTCTGAGAGATTCCTTGAGTTTGGAGAGTTCAAATCCTTGGCCTTTTTATGAAGTGATTTCTTCGTATTCTTGCTTAGTGTATTTCTGTTGTCCTGTCCTTTAGAAAAACATCTGCTGATGGAAATACCTGAAAGAAAATGTACTAGGAGTTATAGAAAATCTGTCAATAGAGGATTTATTGTTTACCATACTTTGAAAAACTGACTTTATTTTCATGAAACATCAGAAATGCAAAACATTTATATTTCAGGAAAGGCTCACGGCTTTTAGAATAAGTTATTTTTTACGTTTATTCTTAAGTCTGCAAATATAGTTGTGAAATCTCCTGTAAACATGTCCGCACATTCACATGTGTGTACACACGCACACACGTGTCCACACAGAGTGAATGAAACTTCAAAGATCACGTAGAAACATAGAATGTGACAGTAGATAAGAACCATTTGGTCCATCTAGTCTGCCTGAATACTCATTAGTCCCTGACCTTATCTTATATCTAGGATAACCTTATGCCTTTCCCATGCATGCTTAAACTCCTTTACTGTAGTAACCTCTACCACTCTAGATGGAAGGCAATTCCATGCATCCACTACCCTCTCAGTAAAGTAATACTTCCTGATATTTTTAAACCTTTGTCCCTCTAATTTATAGAGACTGAATACATCTGTTTTTTGTTCATTCCTAAAAAGGCTGGCCTGTGATGCCACTGCCAGAAGCACATAGCTTAAGGATTTCTACACACTGCCCTTAGTGGTGCCTATAAGACAGTAAACTCATTATGCTTTATTTTATGACTTAAATCATTATTAATATTATTATACTATGTCCTCTTGTTGTGGTAAAAAATCCTATCCTTTAACATGGTTTCCATTACTTCCCTACTACTGAAGTAAGGTTTACTGGCCTATAGTTTCCCGACTCCTCCCTACTACCTTTCTTGTGACTAGACACAACATTAGCTAATTTCCAATCTTCTGGGACCACTAACTAGGATTGGTTAAATAAATCGACTAATGATTTTGCTAGTACACCACTAGGCACTTTTAATAACTGTGGCGAAACCAACCTCGCCACTGGAGAAGCCTGGTTGCCAGCCTCCTGCCTCATGACAATGGCCCCCTCTCATCAGCCCATGGCAATTTTAATGTGTTTGTGGGATCTGAGCGCAGTTTGGATATATTGAGCGCTCAGATCCAAGCCATCTGGGGATAGGTTGAATGTGGGGGTTCTGTTCAGTATGATAGGCGTTATGTATTTTTGCTGTTGTTGTGAATAGAGATATTTTCTGTACCTGGAGATGGTTGGCTTACCACACCCAGTTAAGCCAATTATCTCCAGGATAGAGGACTCTGTGGAACTGGTTTTGGGCAGAAAAGCCATGCTTCATTTGGTCAGAAAGGACTTTGATCTAACTTTTAAACCAATGGAAGGAATTGTCTGATTTTTTAGAATGTTTGTATTTTGAGTATGTGGAGTCTGAAAATGTAAGTTATATGTGATGTATATGTAACAGAGCTCCTTGTACTCCGACTGAGTACCCTCCGTTGACGGATGCTCCTAGCGCTTCCTGAGGACTCCAAGCACTGCAGCAGACACCACAACCACCGCAGACTACGCAACCGCCGTATGTTGACTGGAGTCTCGCAGTCTTCCTTCCACCCTGGATCAGCTTCTGTCCTCCAGGACTGTGTGGGAAAGAACTCTTCCTTCCACCCTGTATGAACCTCCAGCATCCAGGACTGTGTGGTGAAGACCCCTCCTCCAAGGAGAGCGTGTCAGGAACAAGCTCTTAAAAAAGCTAAGTGACTCAAGCTCAGGGGAGCATGCAGAGCATAGCAATCCCCAGTGTGATTATAACAGCTCCCTCCAATAATGAGACAAGGCTACGTTTAGAGGGATCAAGAAGAACTGTCAAAACCTTTATTTCCCTTGGGACCAGCCAATAGGGTCACCACAATAACATTGTTGTGAAACCTCAGTAAAATCACAAACAGTCAAACCATATCAAGCAACACACAGTGACTTATCACAACACAATGGCAAGTTTTTAAAGGGGTGGGGAGAGACAATATTTAACAGTAAATATCTCACCTGCCTGCAGAATTAGCAATATGCAAATCTACCCGAATATGCAAATTAACCAGTCTTGCAATTTAACTAGTGCATATTGCTGTTGCTACCAACAGAGGGCACTAGACAAGCTCCATAGCCAAACCCACCTAGTTGGTAGCAAACCTCAGCAATACAAGAGAGCAGGCAATACATTACACAGTACACACACATACACACTATAAACAATTACATTACACACACCCTGCACCTATAATGGGTACAGGGTGACTAAAACATAAAATAAATAAAGCAGCCTACATAAATAGTCTGTCTCAAGGTAGACTAGGGGCTTTAAAGGCAGATACATGAAAGAGTCATAGTCACAGGGGAGGAGACTGGCAAGTAGGCCTCTCCAGGACCAAGTGACGAAGGGCACTTCGTCACAGTATACTTTTAAAGTTATGAATATTGTGTAAAACTGTATATTTTCTTGCCTGTGATAATTACGTTAGCCCATTGTGTTCAGTAATTATATCACAGGCAGAGGGGAGGATTTTGCTGGAATGAATGGGAGTGTTTATCTGTGTTATATGTTCCACAAAACCCTGTGGGTGGGACTTTGTCTGTAAAATGTGTATATAAGGCCAATAAAAACACAGCTCAGTCTGTTCCTGCTTGACCCTCAAAACGGAGCCTTGTCTCGTTCTTGGGGGGATTTATTGTATGCTGTTCCAGTTTGACTGCTAGGAGTGTAAACCTATTCATATGTTGTTTTCCTATTCGGCTGTTTATGGCATTCATATGATTTCCTGTTCAGCGGATTGGTGTCTTTGGTAGCTGCCTGTATATCTGGAAGGGGGATATCTACTAAACTGCTAACTCCTTTTATTCCCGGGCTGCCGTTACAATAACCTTGAGTGTATTCCATCAGGCCCAATCAACTTATTTATCTTTACTTTTGAAAGTAGAAATAGAACCTCTTCCTCTGTAAACCCACGCGTAACAAATGACTCTTTTATTCTTTTTCCTAACTGAAGTCCCTTTCCTTTATTTTCATCTCTAAATACTGAACAAAAATATTCATTGAGTGTAACGGATCACCTGGCACCCCGACTGGGTACCTCCATTAAAGGATGCTCCTAGCACTTCCTGAGGACTCCAAGCACTGCAGCAGACACCAAAATCACCGAACCAGAGAAGCGTATACCTTCTCTCAAGCATATGAATGCTGTAGACAGTTGAATAGGAACCATACGAATAGGTTTACTCTCCTAGCAGTCAAACTGGAACAGCATACAATGAATCCTTCCCCCAATAATGAGACGACACTTCACTTTGAGGGTTAAAACAGGAACTCCCTGTACTGTCACATACAGTCTCTTTTATTCCCAATCCACAAACATAGTACAGCCCACAGGGCGTTACAAAACAACCAATCAATCCGTACAATACACCCAGACACTCCCACACAAAATCCTCCCCTCTGCATGTGATATGATTACTGAACACAATGGGTAATCTCATTATCACCGGCAGAGGAATACAGTTTTTACACAATATTTATAACTTCTAAAATATAAATGTCACAAACATAAAACATACATTTTCATAATCAATCCATTCAGGGAACAACATATTAAAAAATGGCACGAATCAGACCAGGGGTTCAAAAGTTAAGGGAAAGTCCTTTGTGACTAAATGAAGCATGGCTTTCCGGCCCAAACCAGTTTCAGAGTCTTCTATCCTGGAGATAAGTAATTCAATTATCTCCCAGGACAGACACAAGACTCCATTAAGCACATGGTTGCAAAAAGACATAAAACACTGTAAAATACATAAAGTCACATTTTATACATAAAACACAGACATGTCACATATCCCCAGATAGCTGGGATCTGAGCGCACAAAACTACTTGTAAGAATATTAAATAGTTAACTTGTTTATATGTATTTTATGCTTTTATAAGGTTTATAACATGATTATTGCTGACTGAAGGGATATTGTACATAATATGCTGACTGTGACAGACTAAGGTATTTCTTCTATAGGATGTAAGACAATGCTAAAATTTCAGGATGTCTTGCCCATTCCGATTTTAAGGATATTCTTTTCCAGACGTATGCAAAAGCTTATCTTTCCATTGTCAGAATAACGTAATATAAGGAAGTAATAAATCTTATAGTCTGTACTGTATTTGCATATACCATGGCTAATGTAAGCAAACTATGTATAAAAGCCAGCTCTGGAATACACTCATTTGAGAGTCTTGTAAAGCTGTTGTCCGTGTGTTATTGCTTACAAATGATCCTCCATCAACGTTGATTATGGTGACCGAGGGAACGAGAACCGAGGGGATTAGAGTCCATTACAACATTAACCCTTTCAGCTTGGTGTCTAGAAGTGGGATAGATGAAGTGGATCAGCAAAACCATTTGCGGTGAGTAGCCTTTTTGTGTCTTATTTGACGCTGATTGTCTATGACCCCCCTTTGGTTCAGTAAGTCTGTATCCAGTAGATAGGAAAGGTGTAAGGACTCTAGTTATATTGAGACTGTAAATAGGTCTCCGGTTTATTAGACATTTGGTCTAAATATATATAGGGTTTTGGTAACCCAGGTTAGTATCTAAGATAGATACAGGTTTTTGAGACCATAAGAGGTCTCCGGTTTATTATAGGGTTTTGGTAACCCAGGTTAGTATCTAAGATAGATACAGGGTATCTCAGGTAGATACAGGTTTTTGAGACCATAAGAGGTCTCCGGTTTATTAAGTCTATAGGTGTTCTGATCTATAAGTATAACCCAAACTTCTCTTTCTCCCGGTCACCTTTGTTTGTCTTAAGTGTTTTTTTTTGTGGG